CCCCAAAACCCCAAAACCCCAAAACCCCAAAACCCCAATCTTGGTCACAAAAATTCTGAATTCCATTAAAATAAATTTTTGAAAAATTGATCCAAAAAATGAGCTTCACGACTCTACAAGTAGGGCAGGCAGGGAACCAAATAGGGCTGGAATTATGGAAATTACTGCGGAAAGAGATCCCAGAATACGCAGGTAGGACCGAAACTGAAATCCATAACTCATTTAGACACAATGTTTGATTCCTTAAACTCAGAGAAGGCCAGATGTGTCCTGGTTGACACAGAGCCAAAGGTGGTAAACAAGTACATTGAAGATGACACCTTGAAAGAGTTCTTCAAATAAAGAAAATATCTTCTCAACAGAAGAAGGCAGAGGCAACAATTGGGCCTTTGGGTATACCTATGTCGAAGACTCCTTTGATGAGAAAATCCTAGATTGCATCAGACATGAAGCAGAAAACTGAGATTTTTACGAAGGAATGCTCATGATACATTCCATTGCTGGTGGAACCGGCTCAGGTCTCGGATCAAGGTTAATGGAGAAATTCAAGGATCAGTATGGAAAAGCTAAACTTATTAATGTTGTCGTATGGCCACATCCTTCAGGGGAAACCCCACTACAGAATTATAACTCTTGATTTACCACCTCATTTTTACAGAAATATAGCGACTCAGTGATTATTTTTGAAAACGAATCAATGCTGAAGCTTATTCCTAAATGAATAGATGGCAAGAAAGTTCATTCTATCAGTATGAAAAATCTGAATGAATACATTTCAGTATGTCTGAAGAACATTCTGACACCTTGATCAGATGAAAAGATTTCTTTATATGATATATGAGAGCTTTCTCCAGTCCCACAGTTAAAACTGTTATCATGTAACTCAAACCCATTCATTTTCAACGAAGAGTTATCATGAGATAAATTCAAAGAATGGCAAGATATTATCACTACAGGATTCAACCAAATAACTCATCTAAAAGGAACTCCCTACCTCGTATCAGGCAAAACCTATTGTAGGTACAAGGAAACTGGGGCCTTCGACACTCTCCCCTCTCACTTGACTAAAAAGGTCAATTCCAAATACAAATCCGTCTCCTGGTCATCCACTGCCCTCACCCACGTCCTCACCAACGAGACTCCCTTCTACTCCCAAAAATCGTGCCCTTTCAGTTTCGCCTTCCTCTCAAATTCAACTATATAAGCACCAGACCTCTCAAGAACATCCTAAAATATGGCCGATCCAAATTCAAATCAAAAGCCTACCTCCACTGGTACGACAAGTACGGGATGGGCGAAGAGGAATTTTGTGAAGCTTTTAGGTACGTGGATGAGACAGTGGAGGCCTACGAGAAAGGGATTTTGTAGTAGAGATTTTACAGGTTTAGAGGTTTGGAAATTTAAGGATTTTGTTAAGAATTTCAACTTTTTGGGAGATTTAAGGGGTTTTGGGGTTTTGGGGTTTTGGGGTTTTGGGG